ACAGAAGTTGGATGCTTCTAAAAGGTCTGTTCAACCACTTGTTATATTGAATGACGAGTCATCATAGTGCTGTTGGTAGATCATTCAGAAAATTGTCCGTGTGTGTGTGCTTAAACCTAAGATAACATCTTCCTTAATAGGAGCTGAAATTATTATGATATCTTCCTAAATAGGAGCTGAAATTATTATGTATTCCCATACATGAAAAACTCTTAAGTCGAAAGTAATGGTTGAAGGGGCACAAGTCCACTATTGGTGGGAAGAGTGGATTTTAGCCCGGTTGTGAGGATACCCATGCCTCCGGCTTCATTTCACTTCTAGCATGTTTACCAATCAAAGTTGCAGTAAGAATCTTGTATTCGCCAGGAGATCTTGATGGTTTTAGGAGAGGACCTTGGGCATTGGAGAGAGATGGCCCTGGAGAGTGTTCGGGGTGAATATTCTATGGTGCAAGCTTCATGGAATTGTCGAGATAAGGAAGATCTTGAGATCCACACCTTCGCTGCTGATGTATTGTATATAGCTGGTCAGTTATGTTGGGAGAATGAATCTTTTCTAGGATGCTTGTTAGTTATGATGCTTATGGGCGTTTGACCTGGATTTCACCAGCAGGTCCATCTGGGTCATGAGATTCTGAGATAAATGCCGTAGTCGATGCTCATTATGTTCTTCCATATACCTGTGGGCTTATTTTTCTAGCTTCTTTCATATAAATTGGTTCAAGATTGCAACGGGCAAGTAATAGGATTATTTGCATTTTTAGTGTTGAGAAGCTTTAAAGTATATATGGTCTTTTTATCAATTTGATAGAACTCTTCTTTTCCTTGTTCCCTTTTTGATAAAGTAATAAAATTCATTAAAAAAGGGCAAAAACTCGCCCGTATACAAGAAGTATACCAATAAGTCGAATTTTCCTTGTTCCTTGTAATAATGAATTAGAGTCCTGAAGAATATTCACAAAGATTGTTAGTTCTTGTTACTTCAGGGAACGGTCTAGACTCTCGGAAGTCTTGAAGTCCAAGCATGAAGAAACTGAGGCCTACCTCTCTGAGATTGAGGTCTGTTTACTGCTTAACTTGTATGTGCTTATAGGTCAGTTGTATAGAGCACTAGCTTTGTAAAACAATCTGAAAGATTAGAGAGATTCGTTTGTTCCAGACAATTGGGCAAGCCTACGATGATATGCAATCACAAAATCAGCAGCTCTTCCAGCAAATCACAGAGAGAGATGATTACAATATCAAGGTAATATATCTGACAGGAATGCCTTCAATCTGTTATCATTTGTGTAAATTTGGCAAAAATCTTCAACTAATTTATGTACCACTAGTTACTTAAAGGTACCATTAGTCCTCCCTATTTGCTCTAATTGGTGAATTCTGTTATTTGTTGTCAGTTAGATGCTTCATGAATCAATTAACTTCTTCATGTGAAATAAAGTTGCATCTTGGTGGAGGAGTTAGTAAAATTAGGGAGAAGCATTTGGTATTTCTCTTCAGACTTTATTTGTCGGTTTCGAGTGATTAACTTTTGCTTTTGGTTTTACATCATATGACAAGGAGAAAAAGTGATTGACTAGGGGTGTTCAGTGTCCCTGGTGAATGGTTTACACTGCTTAGGGGTGTTAATAATTTCTGATGCAACCTTGTTACTACCTCTATATTGGTTTACCATACCAATTAGCTCTTTTACGTCTAACTGCTTACCACTACTACGGTACTACCCCTCCAGTGACCCTGATCTACATTTTCCGTTTTCATCAGTGACGACAACCCACCATACCAGGTTATTTCCTTTCTTTATCGGTAAAGATAAATATTATTAATATCCAGCGACAAGAGAGTGCTATAAAATATATACAAGGGGCAGCTTCATTACTTGCACCAAAAATAGAGTAGAGAAATACATCTGTATTTAATGCTAATTACAGCTTTGGATTTGCTTTCAGTAAACATATTGACTTGCTGCTACTTCCATGGGTATCTTTCATCAGCCATTACTCTCTTATGCGTATTTATTTGGGGAAACTGCTTAGAATGTTTTCCACTGTCCTAGTTTTATGCTGGTTTATCCTTGCCCATGGTTTCCACCTTCGCAGCATTAGTTGCTTTTCTGTGACCACTATTTTAGACACTTTTCCGTAGCTTTGCATTGATATTTTAGGTTTTTAAAGGAGTTTTCTATCCACGATGTTTTAAGGAGTTTTGTTGTATCAGTTCAAGATCTTCGAGGATACTCTGAGAAACATGCTTTACATGATTGCTGGATTGCACTCTCTGAATAGTCATCCGTCTTTGCATTTCTATTGTGTCAGGTTTCTACTGCTGCCAATTTAGTACTATCTGATAAGTTTATCTTCTGCTCCTTAGCTTGTTTTAGAGGGACTACGGGCAAGACAGCAGCGGGATTGTCTGGCCTGGGAAACTCAAACCATGGAGAGAGCGGTTGAAGATGCCAATACAGTGGTCAGTTTCTATGAAATGAAAGCTGCCAAAGTTGATGACCAGGTAATTGGGGATCTTCTTTGGAGTTCCAAATGTTTTATATTGCTGCAGGGACTTAAAAGTGTGTTTGTTTCCTTTCAGTTGAGGGGATGCTCAGATCTAGTTCAGAAACTTGCTGAAGATAGGATTCAGAGTTCTCTTGCTCTGGAGAACACCCAAAAACGGTTGTTAGACGTCAGAAAATCATCCCTGCAATTGCGGGAGACACTGGAAGAATTGCAGTCCAAGATAGACAAAAGTCGAGTTGATCTTGCAGAATTGCAGATAGAACTAGAGAAAGAGAGGTAAATTGGAGGTTAATGTTTGTCTGTATCCCGAGTACCAATTTAGCTCTTAAACCAATAGTCTCTTATGCATTCCCTTATTATCTTGTCCTCGCGTTACTTGACTAGGTTTGAGAGGAAAAGAGCAGAGGAGGATGTAGAAGCTCTGAGGAGAAAGACTTCACGGTTGAGGTCACACATCGAAGGGTCATCTGTTATTGAGAAGCTTCAGCAGAAGCTAAGGGAATACAAGGAAATACTCAACTGTAGTATTTGCTTTGATAAGCGAAAAGAGGTAGGACCAACTGACCTTTTTCTTATTTCTTTGGTCGATCAGCATCAGGTAGGTGAAGCTGAAAACACATGAAATGTCACCTGTTGTAGGATCCACTGTGCAAGTTTCTGATAGTGGCAGCAGATGGGATGAAAAAGTGATGGGTTCTTAGTTTAGATTGGTTATTGAGATAATAGTACGCGCTATCCAAGAGATTCTTCAGTGATGAGATTCTATGGTTTTAAATATTGGGAACAACCAGAATTATAGCCTGTTTGGCCAAGCTTCTAAAATCAGCTTATTTTGGAAGTGCTTTTCTCAAAAGTACTTTTCAAAAAAGTGCTTTTAATGAGAAGCAGTTTGTGATTGGCTAATTAATTTGAAAAGCACTTTTGAGCAGTAATTAGTGTTTGGCCAAGCTTCTAAAATCAGCTTATTTTGGAAGTGCTTTTCTCAAAAGTACTTTTCAAAAAAGTGCTTTTAATGAGAAGCAGTTTGTGATTGGCTAATTAATTTGAAAAGCACTTTTGAGCAGTAATTAGTGTTTGGCCAAGCTTTTGAAAACTGCTTCTAAGTGTATTTTTGTCAAAAGTGCTTCTCAGAAAAGTGCTTTTGGAGAGAAGTACTTTTTTCTGCTTCTCTTCGAAAACACTTTTTTTCCTTCCAAAAGCTTGGCCAAACATCTCAATTTTTGGGCAAAAGTGCTTTTGGCCAAAAAAAAGCACTTTTGGCCCAAAAAAAGCTTGGCCAAACAGGCTATTAATGAGACTGAATAGTACATATAACCAAACATGTGCTTGGCAGTAGGATATTAAATTTGTTAGGTGATCTTGTCTGATGTGGATAAGCATAGTGATAGACTGATACTTCCACCATTTTGTGGGATCATAAGAGATTCTGAATGCCAACTTATTGCAATGATTTGTTCTCTTTTTGCCACAGTGGTAATAGAACTAATTTTCTCCAAATATTTTTTTTATATAATGGTAGCATTTGGCCAGTTTGCGTACACCTCGACTATTCCACCAGGTACTTGTTACCTCCCACTAGGATAGATATTGAATATCTTTGCCTACCAAGGATATAGGCAGATGGAAAGAAATCACCTTTTTTGTCTTGGCTGCAATTTGAGCCCTAGTCTCCAAGGTTTCCACCCACTTTATTGCCCCTAGGCCACACATCCTTGGGTGTCTATTTTTCTCCAAACATGTAATAATCTCCTTATGGAAGAAAGAATTTAACTGTGCTCTGACTCTTTCTACTGATAACTGTTTTACAGAGAGCTAAGATATCTTTATTACATTACAGGTTGTCCTCACGAAATGTTTCCATCTCTTTTGTAATCCGTGTATCCAAAAAATTGTTGAGACTCGTCACCGCAAATGCCCTGTGTGCTTTGCAAGTTTTGGAGCAAATGATGTGAAGGCTGTTTATATCTGATAAGAAACATGAGAATATCTGGGCCTTTCGTTATGCCACTGGTGAATCAAGATCATCATCCAGTGATGGTCTGGGCATATTTACGCAGGTAATAACATAAAACAGAGAATTCTGCTGATGGTTGAAGTTGATGGTCTGCATGGACTTGCTGGTGCTGGTTCAAAGGTTATTGATTTTATTTTAAGTTTTTGCTGGTGCTGTCCAAAGTTGTTGATTATGTTAATTTAACTTTCCTTTCTGTTAAGTGTAGGCACTTAAGTTCAGATTTTTGGTTACTAAGTGCTAGAGTAGATGCAATGCCTCAAAGACAAGCTTGCTTCACCGCGTTGAAGCCGCAACCCCCC